CATCAACTGTAAAGGCGTATGTCAATTAAGGTGAAGTTTTCTGACTTGTACTAAATAACCTTCCGTTTCTGAACCTGTGTAAAACAAATATCGTATTTCCAGTTTATACTGTCATTTGAAAAATAACATACATAATAAACCTCTAACAGCAAAAATAATAAAACAAGATTGACCCGAGAAAAGATGTACAAACAAAGGAAGTAATAACAACAGTACAATTTTTCCAAAATTTCTAACTTTTGCCACCGTCAATTAGAACCTTATAATGCATTTCTGAAACTGTAACCGAAAAACACAATAAACTATGCGGTAACAAGACATACAGTAAAGAGGAATAAGAAATCCAAAAACAACAAGGGCTTCAATAACAATTTTTGTGCTGCGAGATGCAATCAAGTCACGATTCTAAATGTTCCGTGGTCGGCCCAACCACGGCAATATCCCCTGTTCTTTTCCAAAAAACACTAGGCAAACAAGCTCGCAACAAACTCTACATAATGAAACTTCAACAAAAACCAAAAAGAAAAATGATTTAAAATCAGTAACCTTCGAGTTCAGTATCAAAAAATTCAGAAAGATCAGTTAACTGCTCCCAGGATTCCGTTCCCAATAACGGATCGTCATCGCCAATGAATGGAGATGGAACAAAGCTGCTTTCCTTGTTGTCATCGAAATAAAACTGGTCGCCCATCGTGGGCGAACTTCCACACTTTTCAAACTCGAGTCCATTAGTAGATGGATTTGGAACCTGTTGTGCAGGTGGCGAACTATGCGGTTTGTAGGAATCATAATCGGGAAGCGAAGTGACAGACTGCGGTGACAGCACAGAATACCTTCCAGGTTCTCCTGTCGAAGTTATGAGGCCATTAACAATATTTGGAGTATACTGTGCAACTAAATTGAAATCCTGTTCCGTGCTATCCACTCCAGACGCGCTGCTGATTTCCGAGGTACTGGAAACTTCGCCAGAAGTGGTAGGCTCTTTTTCTTCTTTGCTACCAAGCATTTCCGAGCAAAACTGTTCAAGTTCACTGTCTTCCTCCCAGATGTCGTCGAGGATTTCTTGTAGGTTGATGTTAGGAATGAGAGAAGCAGAAGCACCCTCAGTAACACAATCGCCTGTTCCCTCTGCTGGGGCCCGCGAATGGATGCTGCAGATCCAAAGGACGACTGGTTGTTACATGAGGTATTCGTGCCTCTCTGCTGCCTTTCTTCATCCAAAACCTTTTCCAGTTCATGCTTCTGGAACTTTAACTCATCGCACATCTCAGTAATACGTTTGTTTTCAGCCCGCAGTAATTCGTTTTCAGCCACCAATTTTCGTACTGCCTCTTCCAGTTTACAGGTACGTATTTTTTTCCGATCACGTGCAGTTTGTGCAGCAACACGATTTTTCAGCTTACGACGATTTAGTTTTTCTTCAGCCGTCAAGTGGCTTAACCGTTCACGTTTACGTACTGGTGGCGCTTCAGCACTCCTATATCCAAGAATTTCTTCAATAGCTGGATCTAGTTCCGAAGACGCTTGTCGTTTTCGTACAATAGGCTCTGGATAATTTTTTAAAACAGCTTTTCCAGACGTTAATACACTCTTCTTCGCCGGTTTTTTAAAACCGACATCAGCGGGTGTAGCATTTGGCGTCGGTCTAGCTGGTATTGGCACTCGTCGAGTAACAGTAACAGTCCTAGCTGGAAATGAAGCAAATGGGAATGTATTACCTTGTCGTGCTGGCACAATATAGATGGTCCGAGTAGCCATTTGGTACAGAAACAAACTGCCGGGCAACAGGCCCTACTCTGCGTATAGATTAACAACCTTCTTCTTGCGCATACAATTAACACGACTGCTCATCGCTATGGACACGTCAGTTAGAAGTGTTTTGCTCATTGATCATTGGTTGTTTTGTTTGAGTTATCTCCGCCCATTTGATGCCCTTGCCAAAACAGATCAATATTTAGTGCCGACGTAGCTAAAAACTAAAATAGTTGATGCAATTTTTCGGCATGTTTTGGCCACTCAGAAAGACTGCAGCTACTCAGCAGCATCATCTTCACAAATAACTCCATATCCGCGG